CAAAGTTTAGTAACCAAATTCGATACGTTAGTTCACCATTTCTATAAAGAAAATGTGAATTTATCTTTATTTACGCAAATGGGAACAGCGAAAAAATGCTTCACTATTCGGTCTATAATGGGGCATTTTTTCGCTGTTCGCATATGTGTAAATCAATATAAATTCACATTTTCTTTATGGAAATGGCGAAGTAAAGTATCGAATTTGGTAACTACACCTTGCATAGCTGAAAAAAATGAGAAAATAACTCAGTTTCAGTAGAAAACAAAATGTGCATTTTCGCATGGTGCTGTCAATGCATTCTTAGTTTTGGTTTTGAATGATACTCAGTGGTTTTCTCATTTTTTCAGCTATGCAAGGTGTAGTTACCAAATTCCATACTTTAGTTCGCCATTTCCATAAAGAAAATGTGAATTTATATTTATTTACGCAAATGGGAACAGCGAAAAAATGCTTCATTATAGACCGAATAGTGAAGCATTTTTTCGCCGTTCCCATTTCCGTAAATAAATATAAATTCATATTTTCTTTATTGAAATGGTGAACTAAAGTAACGAATTTGGTTACTAAACTTTGAATAACTGAAAAAATGAGAAAACCACTGAGATTCAGTCAAAAAAAAAATGTGCCTTTTTGCATGGCAATGTCATTGCGACCTTGGTACGGTCTGCGCACGCGCAGCGAGCAACAGAGTTCACGTCGCGAAAAATTAAACTGTTTGACTATATCAACCGCACGGACGATGAAGAAGTTTTTACCCTTTCTCTTGTAATTTCAAGGAGGAAAGGGAAAAATTTACCCTTCCACATGTTGAAGGTCCAATCGCTGACATGGAACTTCTTCATCATCCGTGCGGTTGATATACTCAAACAGTTTATTTTTCGCGACGCGTCAAAAATGCTCTTTTACAGGTAATTTTAATTAGTTATTTTACTAATTGCTTTTTATTGCTCATAGTCAAAAATAATTTTTTTGGAAACTTTGATACTCTAATTTACCATTTTCGTAAAGAAAGTGTAAAAATGTTATTTTTTGTGGGAGAATTGGATGTCACAAAATTGCGTTTTTAGTGCTGGTGTAGTGACCTTATGGTTTGTTTACATTTCACAACTTGGACATAGCCTTAAGAGATACTACATATAAATTGTTAAACAGTGTCTAAATTTCCAATATAATAAATAGAAGCAATGGTTTTGCCTGTTTTAATTTTCGCCCTATTTCTAGTAAAATATATACGAATTTTGTTATTAATTTTTTTTCGTTTTCGTACTTAACAGCTTCCAAAGATGTCGATAAGTACACCTTTTCTTAATTCATATCGCCTTGTCAAGAACATTTTACAACTGACAATGAATAAAATATTTAACCAAAAGAGAATTTAAGTTAAGTAATAAGTGCTGTAATTGCTAGTAAAACATTTTATAAATTCCTAAAAAATAAAAGTAAATATGCAAAACCTATCCTCACTTTATGTGAACAATAAGGAAGAAAAGAATAAACAATTACAATGTAAAAGTATGGGGGTCGGTTTCGGACCACCCCCACTATTTTCACAAAATGTTTTGCCAATCACTTATATCAATGGAATCTGTTGTGGCATCGAGAGAGAATGAGTAGGGTAAGTGCGTCAATTGCTGCGGGTGCTTCAGTTTCTGCGGCATTTTAATAATTTAAGTGAATACATTTGTTCAGGGCACAAATAATTTTGAAATTTTTTTTAAAAATTACTTAACGATGTAAGTTTTAAAATAGATATAGGAAGTATATACCAAAACATAATATTTATGTATTTTATTTTAATTAAAAGTTGACGTGTTCAAGGTTTTATTTATTTTCATTGCTAACTTTGCTGGCGGTGCAAAAATACCTACATAAAAAAGGCTTTATTATTGTTTTTAGACTTAAAGTGGTTATTATTATGATGATTTTAGATAAAGAAAGCCTTGTTTTAAAAGAAAAATTAAACTTTACTTTATTTTTGTCTGTTATTATATTTTATTTTTAAGAGTAGTAATTAACACAGAATTTGGGCTTGATTTAATTTCTGCGCCCTCAGAAAATCAACTAAGACTGGTTACAATAGACTATCTATTTTGAAAAAGAGCAAGAAAAAATTATGAAAATGAAAGAAAAAATGAAGATTATGGAGGAAAAACTAAAGAAAATTTAATAAATACATAAATTAATTAAGGAAGAATTCTGTTATTAAGTTTTAACTAAATGTTTCAAAAATGTGATAATTCAGAAATTATTTGTTACTTTTGTTAATATATGATATATATTTATTTTTAATAAATTTATATTCTATTCAATTAAACATTGATTAAAATCATTGTCCCATTTTGATTTCATAGTAGTTTGCGGTATTATACACATAAACACGAAATTATGCGCAGAAACTGACCCACAGGAATTGAATTCGCGCAGCAACTGATGCGCAGCAACTGACTCAAACGCGCAGAATTAAACGCATTGAATATTATTTTTAATTCATTAAATTTATTAAAATAAATTATATTTTAGAGATGTTATTTATTGTAAACATATCTTAATAACACAAACTACAAATTTAATAAGACATAAGTTCAATTTGATCAATATAAAAATTATATTTTATAGTTAAAAGACGTCTTGACCAAAATACCGCAGGAATTAGTACACTTACCCTAATACAGTAGAGTAGGGATTTGCCGCGAAAAACGATGCCGAATTTTGTCGAAATATGACGATGATGTGATGACGAAGCCTGCGAACGATTAGATAAGACTGACCGGCTGAAAAGAAAAGACGCGTTGCGTGAAAAGTATAATTTTGTAAATGTTCCAAGTTTCGAATTTAATAAAAGTCCTTTTTTACATTGTGGAGTGCTTTTAAAACGTGGTGTGTTTTTTATTCCCTATCCTGGTCCCAAAATAATCAATTTAATTTGAATGTTGCGCGTGGAAGTTAAGGTCATACACAATCAAAATTAATTTCGTAAAAATTTTCCTGTATTCAAAAAACACTGTTAGTTGAGTTAGAACTTGGATGGGTGACCGCTTGGAAATACCGCGTAGTGTTGACTGTTTTTTAAATTAAAAACTTCATGCAATAAAATTATATTTACCAATATATAGAGTTTATTGTAATACGTTTACTCGCATTGTTTTATTATAGTGTTCTATAGTACTACATCAAATTAGCATTTACTTTTTAGACAAAACTAAGTAAGGGGCTGTCCATAAATTACGTAACACGTTTAGGGGGGAGGGGGGGTTCGAGAAAATGTTATCATATGTTACATGGGAGGGGGGGGGGTCAATCATCATTGTTACGTAATATTTATAAGGAACTTAATCTCTTTATAATAGATAAATTTTTGAAAAGCTGTCCCTTGCCGCCACTTCAAAATAAGTAAAAATCGAATCATTTCGCGAATCGATTCTTGGGAATAATATACAATTTTTATTGTTAAAAAATCAATGTTATATTTTTGGTTGTTCAGTATGATTAACCTTTAAAGTGCTAAGTGTTGAAAAATCACGCTCAGTGCTAACCCCGGTCTGTCAGACCGCTATTCCCTTTTGACAGTTTTTTAGTCATTTATAATTTTTAAAAGACAACTATTATAAATATTTTTTACTTTTTAACAAAAAAAGTCATTTCTGTATTATGCATTTATTTATTTTATTTATTTTATAAATGCAGTCTATGAGAACTGTCAGTAGAACTAGCTGCGCGTCAAGTTGCGCAGACGTCACTCATGGGAATATACTGGAATATACTTTCACTTAAAGCTAACCCCGGTCTCACAGACCGCTATACTTCAAATATTTATTTATATTACAAAATTTAACGAATAAAAATTTTTGAAAAAGTTGTCTCCTAACAGATTTTCATAAAATATGAAGCTACTAAAAAGTTCAAGTTCTTATTATACATTGAAAAAAAGTTTCAAGCAAAGAAAATTTTAATAGCGGTCTGTCAGACCGGCATAGCACTTTAAAGGTTAATAAAATTATTCCTCTAAATGTTTTTTATATTTAACTTAATTTTGTATTGCTATTTGTACGATATAAATACTAAAAATAACAGTAATAAACAAATCTGTTTCGAAAAACGTTAGTAAAAAAAATATTTTTAAAAATTACGTAACATTGATAGGGGGGGGGGGGTGTAAAACGATTTTGTTATAACTTGTTACATAAGGGGAGGGGGGGTTCAAAATTTCACTAAAAACGTGTTACGTAATTTATGGACGGCCCCTAAAAACTACAAGTGACTTCATGAAAGTTAGTTCTTATACTACACACAAATACCTAAATTCTAGCAGTAAAAAAATGTACAGTAATAATTGTTTAGAACTAAATAATTCTTTCGTAAAAATATTTGTTGGCCCTGAAAAGGGCCGATTGTTTTGTTGAGGGTGGACAAGAATTTACTTTGAGCTGGTGTACTTGGTGACAGCCTTGGTGCCTTCAGAGACGGCGTGCTTGGCGAGTTCACCAGGAAGGAGAAGCCTGACGGCAGTTTGGATCTCCCGGGAGGTGATGGTGGACCTCTTGTTGTAGTGGGCCAAGCGGGAGGATTCGGCAGCGATGCGCTCGAAGATGTCGTTCACGAACGAATTCATGATGCTCATGGCCTTGCTGGAGACTCCAGTGTCGGGGTGCACTTGCTTCAACACTTTGTAGATGTAGATGGCATAGCTCTCCTTCCTCTTGCGCTTCTTCTTCTTGTCGGTCTTGGTAATGTTCTTTTGAGCCTTGCCGGCTTTCTTCACGGCTTTACCACTGGCTTTAGGAGGCATGGTTAGTTTTCAGAGAAAAGTACGTCTGAACTCGAAGAGAACACAAAGCGAATTGACGTTAAGCAGCGGAAACTGCCCTATTTACGTTCTCTTACAGTTGTGCTCCTACATTTTGATTGGTGCGGGGACTCACTGCAACCATCTGCCACTCACGACAAAGAGAGGGGAGCGCAAGTTGTGGGCGTGACCTGTGGAGAGAGCGTAAATAGGCGGATTTCAGGCGCAGAACATCATTCGCTTTGTATTCTTCGTTGTGTTTACTTCGTTAATTCAAAACTAAATCAAAAATGTCAGGACGTGGCAAAGGTGGCAAAACCAAGGGAAAGTCAAAGACCCGCTCCAACCGGGCTGGACTCCAGTTCCCAGTCGGTCGTATCCATCGGCTTTTGCGCAAAGGAAACTACGCCGAGCGTGTGGGTGCAGGTGCTCCAGTTTACCTAGCCGCAGTTATGGAATACTTGGCTGCCGAAGTCTTGGAGTTGGCCGGAAACGCAGCTCGTGACAACAAGAAGTCGAGAATCATCCCCCGTCATCTCCAACTCGCCATCAGGAACGACGAGGAATTGAACAAGCTTCTCTCTGGAGTCACCATCGCCCAGGGTGGTGTTCTCCCCAACATCCAAGCTGTTCTTTTGCCCAAGAAAACCGAAAAGAAAGCTTAAATTTTCTACCCACCTTTCAAACAATCGGCCCTTTTCAGGGCCACCAAATATTTTTACGTTTGAATTCTATGTTCTTTACATTAATATTTAAAGGACAACTAATATTAATAATAATTTAATTATTTGGAAAATACATCAAAAATTGTAACAAAATACTTGAAAAAAATAATTGTTTTTAATTAAATTTTACAAAATTTCAATTATTTTATTTTTCGATATAAAAAATGGTGGAAATAGCACGTAATAACGTACTAGGCCGTAATTGTGTACATTTATTTACCTTATTCGTAATCAGCGACCTCGAAAACAGTTTAATATAATTGTGTGAGACATTTTTTTGATAAGATAATGTATAGTGCCTGAGATTTAATGTAATAAAAGTATCCTTCAAAAAAGTCTAGTTTTGAGCAGCCATATTGGATTTTGGTTTCTGAATTTTTAAAATTTGGATTCAGCGTCGAAAATACCATAAATAACGTATGTGTTAAAAATAGTTATTTTCGGAATTTCTGTAGTACCTACTTTTTAAAATTATTTTTTACAGATTTTAACGAATTAGCAAAAATTCATGGATATTTTCTGAAAAAATGATATTAACATATTTTAATGTCAGTAAAAATATTTCCATCCTAATTTAAAATGTATACTGAAAGGTAAGGTGGAATTGACCATTGCAGTACTTTTTTAAAATTTTGATAAATATAAGAAGTAAATTGAAATTTGTTATATAGATTTTAATTTTAAGCTTTTGTAAAAATAAGCCTATTCGCAAGAGCTATGAATTATTTTCGACTTGACTACTATTCTAAATACTTATATTTGAGACAAAGAAAATTCTTTCGTAAAAAGTAATTGGTGGCCCTGAAAAGGGCCGTTTGTTTTCAATCTTCCACTATCAATTTTATTTCACTTTACTTCTTGGCAACCCTCTTTGCCGCGGGCTTCTTCGCTTTGGGTGCCGCAGCCTTCTTGGGCGAAGCTTTGGCCGCCTTCTTGGGAGCAGCCTTGGTCACCTTGGGTTTGGCGGTGGTGGACTTGGCCTTCGGTGGCTTGGCCGCAACCTTCGGGGTCTTCTTCTTCTCGGCGACGGCTTTCTTGGTCTTGGCTGCCACGGCCTTCTTCGGAGAAGCTGCTTTCTTGGCCTTTGGTGCTGCAGCAGCTTTGGGTTTGGCGGCAGTCTTGGTCTTGGGCTTGGCTTTGGCCTTGCCCTCGGCCTTGGCGACGTTCAACTTGAAGGACCCTGCAGCGCCCTTGCCCTTGGTCTGGATCAGAGCCTTGCTGGCGACTGCAGCCTTCAGGTACTTTCTGATGAAGGGAGCCTGCTTCTCGACATCGACTTTGTAGGTGGCGGCGATGTACTTCTTGATGGCTTGGAGCGAAGAGCCGCCTCTCTCCTTCAAAGTGGCGATGGCCGCGTTCACCATCTCCGACGCTGGCGGGTGACTGGCCTTGGCGCGGGGCTTCTGCGCCTTGGCTGCTTTCTTCGGAGTTGCCACTGCAGGTACAGCTGGGGATTCTACCTTGTCTGCCATTTTACTAAAGTGGTTTTCGAAAAACTACAAAAAATGTTCAATAACTTGGAGATGCTTTCAACTCAAGCGTTCAAACAGTTATAAACACATTTTCCTGCGCTCATCGACATAGTAAAACGCACGGACGGTGAAGAAAGGCCCCAGCGATCGTTGGCTTTCTACCGTTTTAATTCTCGGTAACTTGGGTACACCATACAAAATTTTATTCACCTTTTTGATCTTTAATTATTCTTCTCCACTTGCAAATAGATTGAATTTCAATTATGCGATTATTCTAGTTTTCTAATATTAGGAAAAGCATTACACTGTCATTGGGTTTTTCGTTAAAAATGAGCAATTTTCAAGACTCTGCTTTTAGTGATCATTCTTAACAAGTTCAGAAAATTATAAAAAACAAGTGAACAAATTGATTTGTTTAAAAATTGGCCTTGAAATTTAATGCTCTATTTATCTCCCTTTCTGGATAGAAAAGTTATTTTACTTTGAATTATAAATTGAAGGAGGTACGGTTCCTGCAGTTTGTGTATGAGTTCTTACTTTCGGCACAAAATGCAGACGCATAGTGTGCATTGTCTAGATCAATAATAAAAAGTTTTTAACAATTTTTTCAACATTATTTATATCTAATTTAATAAATTATTTGAATATTTTATTGTGTCATAGAAATTTACTTTGAATGATGGATTTGAAAACAGTCAAATATATATTTCATTGCCGTTTAACGCAGTATTATCATTTTTTTACTTTCTTGTATACCTGTATTATGCTTGAAAAAAGTTGGAAGTTTTTTTTTAGTTTTTATACTGTGTGCAATTAAAAACAAATAAAAACCTTACATTTATTAATTGAATGTTTAATAATAATAATAACTATGAAATTGTAAAAGAATAAAATTTATGTTTAAAATAATTATGGCCCGTATGAATTTACGTTTAGGATTGGTAATATATTTTCGAACGTTATTTACAATGTAAAATTACGTTACGTTACGCAAATTTAGAAAGTAAATAATTATACTAAGGAATAGAAATAAAAACTTTTTGTATGCAAATTTGTTTAAATTGCAAACTAAAAATTGTAGCGATAAAAATATCGCAAATATTGGTTTCGGTGTATGAGCGAAGTTTATATTTACATGTGTGTAATATAAGAAGATGCTACGAATTTTGACGTACTTTGACGAATTCTTATGCGGTTTCCTAAAAAATGTCGTCGTCTTCCGTAAGAAAAAGCATTTTTTTTCGACATGTAACTTGTGTGCGAATTTATATATGGTGAAACGATATCCGTCTATTGGCCTTGATGTAATTTGCGTCACATTTCATTGAACAATTGCGTCTAAATGGAAGGATATTTCTCATAAGGAAATTCATCAAAACATCAATTCAGCATAAGGATGAAAGAGATGTATTTTAATTAACAAATCCTTCAATTATCACGCATATATTTGGACCTTATGACGATGTCGAAGCAATGTTCCCGCCACTGAGCCTTTTTTGATGAAAAATGCAATAGAGGAATAAGCGACAAACAGACAAATTAATACGTAAGATATTCTCGATTAAATAATATAAGGAAATGAATGATAACTAAACTTTTATCAAATTATTTTTATATTTTATAATGTCATTATTTTATGATTTTATGTAATTATATGATTTCGTGTGTTGTGTGTTAGTGATAATGTAAATTTATATCGATCATGACGTCATGATTTATAGTGAATTGTAGAATGTAAATTATTATCTTGGCCCTTTACTTGACTTCTATTAAATAAATGAATGTATTAATTTGTGCCATTATTCGAAAGGGTTTATTTTTCCTTTTCTAATTCCATAATTCAATTAAATATTTATTTTGTCCTCTGTTATTGCTTCCTCATAGAGGAAGAATTGTATTTTAGCAAAATTTTCGATTGCGATTTTTTAACATATTTATAAACTTATTTTCATTATACCTAATCTTTTAGTACTTTATGTACGAATGGGCACTACCTGCATAAGTGTTATAAATAAAAATTTTTATGTCATTTGTCTATATTTTCTAAATTTGAAATAGTGAAGAGTCAGTGATTTAAATAGTAATATTTATAATAATCAAATAACGAATAATTATTCACTTCTAGGTTTTCTCTCTGTTATATTTGATATATTGCATTGAATGTATTATTGAAAATTTAACATAATTATGCAGTATGATTTACTTCTACAAAATTTTGATTAAAAACAGGTTTTTAATTGATACAAAAAAGCGTTTATAAAATAGTAGTAAAATATATGTTTGTATATAAGAATTAAAAATATTTCAACGTAAGAAAATTTGTTGGCCCTGAAAAGGGCCGATTGTGTTTTGAGAGTGGCAAGGAAATTTAAGCGCGTTCTCCTCGGATACGACGGGCCAACTGGATGTCTTTTGGCATGATGGTGACTCTCTTGGCGTGGATGGCGCACAAGTTGGTGTCTTCGAAGAGACCGACGAGGTAGGCCTCGCTGGCCTCCTGGAGGGCCATAACGGCGGAGCTCTGGAAGCGCAGGTCGGTCTTGAAGTCCTGAGCGATTTCACGGACTAAACGTTGGAAGGGCAGTTTGCGGATGAGGAGCTCGGTGCTCTTCTGGTAACGACGGATTTCACGGAGAGCGACGGTTCCGGGCCTGTAGCGATGGGGCTTCTTTACTCCACCGGTTGCAGGCGCACTCTTACGAGCGGCCTTAGTGGCGAGTTGCTTCCTTGGTGCTTTACCACCCGTGGATTTGCGCGCGGTTTGCTTGGTACGAGCCATTGCTTAGAAGTTCAGAGTACGAGGGACAACTGAAAAATAATGCTTCCGGCGGCAAAAACACACATATTTATACCCTTCAAAAGCTCTTTCACCGGTTAGTCAAGGAGAAGGGGATACTGACATCCTGATTGGTCTGTCAGATCGTGGAGGGGAGAAGTGGAGTTCCGGAGGGAATAAAACGGCGACCTTAGACAGCAAAGCATCATTTCGAGTTTGTTCTCTGTTCTGTTTGAACGTACTTACTTAATTCTCTGCAAAAATGACTGGTCGTGGAAAGGGAGGAAAGGGATTGGGAAAAGGAGGAGCAAAGCGCCATCGTAAAGTGTTGCGTGATAACATCCAAGGCATCACCAAGCCCGCCATCCGTCGTTTGGCTCGTCGTGGTGGAGTGAAACGTATCTCAGGATTGATTTACGAAGAGACCCGTGGTGTCTTGAAAGTGTTTCTTGAGAACGTGATCCGTGACGCCGTCACTTACACCGAACACGCCAAGAGGAAGACCGTCACCGCCATGGACGTCGTCTATGCTCTCAAGCGTCAAGGCCGTACTCTTTACGGTTTCGGCGGTTAAATTCACTCACCATCATCAAAAAAACAATCGGCCCTTTTCAGGGCCACCAAATAGTTTTACGTTGGAATTCTTTTTTCAATTCATTTTAATTCCTAGCTACTGCCGTGTCTGTATAAGGCGTTTTTATATTACATTATAAACAATACTGTTTATATTTTTTGGTATAATTATTTCTTACATGTAGGTACATATAGTGTGGGATGGTAGTATGAATATACATATGTATTGTATGTTACCCACTCGAGATTTTTCCAGCTGCGCGTTATAAACAATTTCAAAGGTCCCGAAAATCAGTTTTTCGATGACCATTCTTTCCCACAAAATTATAGATGAAAAAATTGCAGAGCTCAGAAACAAATGTAAAATGATGGGGCATACAGGGCTGCCAGTGACTCACTTTTACTCACTTTTTTCCAGGTCACTCACTATTACTCACTTTTTAAAAAAAAACTCACTTTTCTCACTATTTTTTGTAAAATATCTTATTTCTCAATTTTAAAAAAATAATTTTTATTTAAGGGCAAGTCCAAGTTGAAAAATGTAAACAAACCAAACACTAAAATCGCAATTGTTTGGGAGCCTTTATTCGCATAAAAATTAACATTTTTACACTTTCTATACAAAAATGGTAAATTAGAGTGTCAAAGTTTGCAATGAAACCACATTTGACTATGAGTAGAGAAAGGTAGATTATGCGATTGCATAATTTTTTAAAATCGAGTAGAAACATTATAATATTATGTTAATTCATGTTTTAAACATTTAAAAAAATAAAATATAAGTATCAAATGTTACCAAAAATTTAGATAATATTTTTATAAACTACTTTTAGCTTTTATTGTTGGTTGTGATTGTTATACGATTCAATCATAAGTAGAATATCAGAAAAATATGAAATATAAAATTTTCAGGAAAGTTTTACGCTACATTTTCGCTTATAATAGAGTTGTCGAAAATGTAATTTAAATCATCAGGAAAGTTTGAAGCTAAATTTTTGGTAAAAGTAAAATTTGACTATAAACATTTATTGAAGTGATGGGACATTTAAGGGGACTTCCTGGTTTAGAATAGACAAAAAATACACTTTTTTAAACTTTTATTGTGAAAAAAGTATTACAGTTTTTGCCAAAATTCTTTTTGGACATTGTTACAGATTGCGTGGAAAGAATATTAAAAATTTTTTGAAGTAAATTTAGTTACGTATCGTAGATATAGGTGGCGTCACTTAAAAAGGACCTTTTTGGGGGAGTAACTTTCCGAATGACCAGTAACTCATAAATTAAAAATTCAAACTGGATTCTGTTCATAAGTATTTGTTCTAGGTAACAAACCTAAAAAACGATTTTTTAAATGTATATTTTTTACCTACTAGAGTGAGCTAAGAAACGGACATAAAAATTGCTATAACTTTTTTTCCTTCTCATATTTTTTCAGAATTGTTTTGGGAAAGTAATTTTATGATACTAAGGAACATTTTAAAGCAAAAAAAAATCGATTTTTTTTAAATCCTAAACCAGAAAGTCCCCTTAAATCTTTGCACAATTTTCACTAAACTTTGCAAGTAAATAATTTTTCAAAGATTGCAAGTATGTAAATCTTTAATAAATTTTTAGGAAAGTTTTGGTACTGTGTAGGAATACTCATAGTCAAATATGGTTTCATTGCAGACTTTGACACTCAATTTTGCGATTTTTGTTAAGAAAGTGTAAAAATAAGAAAAATGGATGGTAAAAGTATTAAATATCTGTATTATTTATTAAATTGAGAAGAAAATTGATATTACACGTTAATTATTAATTTCAATTTTCAAAAATATGCCAAAAATAACCTTACTTTTTACTCACTATTTTACTTGAAAATTCACTATTTACTCACTTTTTTCAATCAAAAACTCACTTTTTTCACTAGTTTTAACTTATAAGTACGCTGGCAGCCCTGGGCATAGATTAAAATTGGTTAATTTGTTTACTTGCAAATAAATTCAGGGTGGCCACATGTCAGTAAAGTCAGGGAAATGTCAGGAAAAATTTTTTTGTCAGGGCAATTAAAGAAATTAAGACGGTCATGCAATACATTTTTTGCTGTAAACAAAAAAATTTTTGTCAGGGAAATTCGTTGTTATGTCAGTAAAATGTCAGGGAAATTGATAAAGTCAATCTTGCGGCCACCCTGAAATTTAAACCACTAAAAATGGATGGTTTTTTAGAAATTTTTTTGACGAAACTATTTCAGGTAGGAATTTTTTACATTTATTGCTATTTTAATACATATTTTAAGCTTTATAAATATTAAAAAAAAAGTTGTTTTTAATTAAAAATGGCGGAGATATAAAGATTGGTGTGGATCAGTTTTTCCGGAGCACTCCTTGATGGTGTACATGATTGGCATTTCAATTTTTGTCTGAAACAAGTAAACAAATATTTTTCTTAAAAAGTGATAAATTTTGAACAGAGTGACGAAGCCGTTTTTAAAAAAAAATTTCTTACGCAAATGGAAGCACTTCAAAAATTGACTTCATGTTTTGCGATAAAAATACCGTATAAAAAATTAGATAAAAATTTTTCAAATTATTCAATCGAAAAAATCCCACGTCACTCTTTGAAAAATGTATAAAGGGCACCCCTAGACCATTCGAAAGTGGAAAGTCGTTAAGAAGGCGTCAAACGTATTTTGAGACATCTCAAAATACTCGTTAGAATATAGAATTCAATATTTTGAAAATTTCAGGGTGGTGTATCCCCTTAACAAATTCTTTCAATATTCTTCAAAAATATCATTTCTAAAAGTGCAATTCACAGTTAACGCTCACATCATGTTGTAAAGCACTGGTTCTCGTCTGATCACCAAAGTTAAGCGACATTGAGCGCGGTTAGTACTTGGATGGGTGACCGCTTGGGAATACCGCGTAGTGTTGACTTTTTTTTTAATTAAAATTTATCCAATTAAATTTTATCTGACTAGTTTATTATAATTCGTTTATGTACTTCCGTTGTTTTAATATAGTATTTTTTTTAAACATTAGTGTCTAATATTTATTTTCTTATTGTTTAATATATCAAATTAGAACTTATTTTTTAGCCAAAACTAAGATCTCAATCGACGTAAAAATGTTGGTAGATATGTATCCATAAATAAACTGTTTCTATATTTAATATAAAAAAATGTCTACAACTGGATACTATTAAATTCTCAATTTCTACATGTAATGCAACTTTACGAAAGTTAGTCTACTATAAGACAAATATCTCAATATTCTTTAGTCAAAAGAATATTTCTATACAAGCAAATTAATTGTCATTTAGAACCAAATAATTCTTTCGTCAAAATATTTGTTGGCCCTGAAAAGGGCCGATTGTTTTTCGAGAAAGGTGGACAGAATTTACTTAGAGCTGGTGTACTTGGTGACAGCCTTGGTGCCTTCAGAGACGGCGTGCTTGGCGAGTTCACCAGGAAGGAGAAGCCTGACGGCAGTTTGGATCTCCCGGGAGGTGATGGTGGACCTCTTGTTGTAGTGGGCCAAGCGGGAAGATTCGGCAGCGATGCGCTCGAAGATGTCGTTCACGAACGAATTCATGATGCTCATGGCCTTGCTGGAGACTCCAGTGTCGGGGTGCACTTGCTTCAACACTTTGTAGATGTAGATGGCATAGCTTTCCTTCCTCTTGCGCTTCTTCTTCTTGTCGGTCTTGGTAATATTCTTTTGAGCCTTGCCGGCTTTCTTCACGGCTTTACCACTTGCTTTAGGAGGCATAGTTGTTTTCAGAGAAAATACGTCTGAACACAAAGGCAATTCAGGGTGAATTGATATTTTGCACACTGGCGGCACCGTATTTATGTCCGCCTGCGGCATTTTGATTGGTGCGGGCACTCACTGCGACCATCTGCCACTCACGACAAAGAGAGGGGAGCGTACTTGTGGGCGTGACCTGTGGAGAGAGCGTAAATAGGCGGATTTCTGGCGCAGAACATCATTCGCTTTGTATTCTTCGTTGTGTTTACTTCGTTAATTCAAAACTAAATCGAAAATGTCAGGACGTGGCAAAGGTGGCAAAACCAAGGGAAAGTCAAAGACCCGCTCCAACCGAGCAGGACTCCAGTTCCCAGTCGGTCGTATCCATCGGCTTTTGCGCAAAGGAAACTACGCCGAGCGTGTGGGTGCAGGTGCTCCAGTTTACCTAGCCGCAGTTATGGAATACTTGGCTGCCGAAGTCTTGGAGTTGGCCGGAAACGCAGCTCGTGACAACAAGAAGTCGAGAATCATCCCCCGTCATCTCCAACTCGCCATCAGGAACGACGAGGAATTGAACAAGCTCCTCTCTGGAGTCACCATTGCCCAGGGTGGTGTTCTCCCTAATATTCAAGCTGTTCTCTTGCCCAAAAAGACCGAAAAGAAAGCTTAAATTATCCATCATACTCACCCTCACACAAAACAATCGGCCCTTTTCAGGGCCAACAAATATTTTTACGTTTGAATTCTTTGTTCTTTACATTTAATACTTCTCATATGAAAACTAATATTTTCATATGATATGAAATAAATGCAGTAAGTTTTATTTAGCTATGAAGTCTGACAATTTCATCTGCCTTCCTGACTCACAAAACAGTATGTTGCACATGTTTCATGAATTGTTGGGTACACTTTAGAATTTCTCAAAATAACGTTTTCTCAAATTGCGGACAGTTTATCTCTGAATCTACTGAACCGATTTTAATAAATAATAATTCGTTTTGTTTGTTAGAATGTCCTGTATGAGAATTTACCAGAAAATGGTCAAAAAAGAGACTCGGCAAGCCCCATGCAAAAAATGCCCGTTTTTCGTACCTCGAATTTTGAAACTTTTTTTATACCAAATGGTCATATATATGATGACCAAATAATCCCTGCAAAATTTCAAGATGAGCATATGCCCCGTTTAGGAAATATAGAGGGTCAAAGTTGACCATGTCAAATAATGAAAAAATAGCGATTTAACATTTATACTCGAATAATAAGGTTAAAAAAGAAGTCAAAATAGTTCCTTTAAGATTTTTGGCTTCTAAATACGAATGACATGTTAAAATAAAAAAAATTAAATATGGTGAATCCAATATGGCGGATCTAATATGTCAGGCGAGTGTGTTTAAAAAATCATCGGGTTTACTTGAAACTCGATACACGGGGGTTTTTGGGGTCGCTAATTACGAATTTCATGTCAGATTTCAAAAAATTCAAAATTTTGGACACAATTTAAAGGAATATTTTTCAAAATAAAAAAAATCCTTTTCAAACAATTAACTGTAATGTTTTTAGAGGCGTTGAACACAAAAATTATATAAAGAACTGACATTGAAAATGCATTAAATCTTTCTTGTCACTACTTTAACAACTATTGCCTTTATTGGTCGGATTTTTTTATCTTGCCTTTATTGGTCGGACTATTTTAACTTGCTTTTATTAGTTGGATTATTTTAACTTGCCTTTATTGGTCGGATTATTTTAACTTGCCTTTATTAGTTGGATTATTGCATCTGGCCTTTATTGATTGGATTATTTAACTTAATTTTATTAGTCGGATTATTTCATCTAGCCTTTATTAGTTTGATCAGTACATCTTACCTTTGTTGGTTTGATTATTTCATCTTACCTTTACTGGTAGGAATATTTACTTTTGCTCATACTGGTCGGATTATTTCAACTTACCTTTATTGGTTGGATTATTACATTTTATCTGTATCGTACTTTTTTAATTTTTGAAATCTGACATGATATTCGTAATTAGCGACCCAAAAAAGCTCCGAGTAACAAGTTTTAAGTGAATCCGATGACTTTTTACAAAACTCGTCCTCCATATTGGATCTGCCATTTTAAATTTATTAAATCTGACATTAAATTCATAATTAGCAACCCCAAAAACCCCCGTGTATCGAGTTTCAAGTAAACCCGATGATTTTTTAAAAACACTCGCCTGACATATTAGATCCGCCATATTGGATTCACCATATTTAATTTTTTTTATTTTAACATGTCATTCGTATTTAGAAGCCAAAAATCTTAAAGGAACTATTTTGACTTCTTTTTTAACCTTATTATTCGAGTATAAATGTTAAATCGCTATTTTTCCATTATTTGACATGGTCAACTTTCACCCTCTAAATTTCCTAAATGGGGCATATGCTCACCTTGAAATTTTGCAGGGATTATTTGGTCATCATATATAACCATTTGGTATAAAAAAAGTTTCAAAATTCGAGGTGCGAAAAACGGGCATTTTTTGCCGAGGCTCTTTCAAAAAAACATTTTTGCAGACTAGAAAAATACTGAAAAACATAGTGTATTTTGACAAAAATTATTGAAACATCTGCTATTTTTTGGTAGATTTCTATGCAAGACACCTTCCTTTTTAAAAAACAATTTGGATTTTTTGTTTCCGATTTGTCAATCTTGAGATAAACTGTCCGCAATTGGACAACTAACTTTTTGGAGTTTCGATCTGAATGCTGTCTACAGATTATGATATTAAATAAAAATTAAAAACAAACCATTATTTTTATTCTCCAAATAGGGGCCGTACACATAATACGTCACGCGTCTAGGGGGTGGGAGGGGGTCTGAGAATTGTGACTAAGTGTGACATGGGGGAGGGGGGGGGGGTGAACTCATGTGTTACGTTACAATCTTTTAAATTCAAAGATTATAAGAAATTATATGTGACAATGTCACTTTTTCTAAATAAAACTAGTTAAAAATGCTTTAAACTATTTAATATCTATTATGTTCCTGTTTAACATCTATTGGCATATTATTTATAATATGATAAATAATATATTCTCTTAATTTGAATCAGTTAAAAATCATGGTTTTAACTGACAATCAGTAGTTAAATTTCTCACTCCAATAAATGTCTATCGTCAAATTTTCTTAAAAATATAGCTTGAAACTTTCCTGAACATTTGAATTGCATTTTCGACTATGCTTTCGTGAAAATTTTCCTGAAAATTTAACTTAAATTTTCAGGAAAGTTTCGCGCTAAACATTTATTAAAGTGGGATATTCAAATCTTTACACAATTTTCACTAAACTTTGCATTTAAATATTTCAAAGCTTGCGAGTAAATCTTTAGTAAATTTTTAGGAAAGTTTCGGTGCTATGTAGGTAGTTAAACGTGACTAAATGAATCAATAAAAACAATTGTATTGAAACATGAGTTATTTTCAACTAATTGTCAGAAAAAAATATTACTATTTGAATTAGTGACTGACTTTTTGCTTCTAAATCAGGTATTTTTAACTAATTCAATAATTTAGAGTGTAAGATATAATATATATTGTTCAATGCATAAAATTTACAGTGAAATTTACGTGTGTGACGTGACGTAGGGGGGAGGGGGGGTTCAAGATTTGTGACGAAGTGTAACATAGGGGAAGGGAGGGGTTAAAAATGGTCAAATATCGCGTGACGTATTATGTGTACGGCCCCATATGTACTAATATAGGCAAAAAAGTTTTTTTTTAATATTTATAATAAAAGACCTGAGAAATTTTTTTTTAAATTTAGTCTTTTAAGAACCTTCTAAAGTGTAGTAGTACTTTAATTTTTAACATGCTTTATTGTATATTATTTATAAATCCTTTCCATTTTTGCTTCCTCTCAAAGAAAGCCTTATAGTGATGTAGAATTTCTTAGAATCAATTTTTACAAATTTTCAAGTGTAGTATATATATTTCGTCGAGAGGAACAAATTTATGTCACCGTTTCTTGTGGACAAATTTTCTCTTACACGTTTTGACGGATTTTGATAAAACTTTTAGCAATTTTTTAATTTTTGAGAAAAATTGATTTTTGTATTTTTTGAAATAACTTTTTTCTTTACCAAAATTTTCATTAATTCTTGTCAAAATTATATTTCTGGCATGGAAACGAATCTATTCATGTATAGGGCAAAATTCGCCCCAATTGACCAGGTCAAAAAATGAATTTTCTCCAAACTTTGCTAAAATTACAATTATCAGAAGTGTAAATATAAATTTTTTTTGAATTTGATGAAATCTTTTTTTGAGTTATGGAGTTTCAAAATTTTGATTTTTTAATAGCGCCAGGGGGGGGGAGTGCATTTTTTCAAAATTTTCGTGTTTTTCGCTGAAAACACTACGAAGATCAATACCAAATATGTTTGCTATATTTTTCCTGTAATCCATTTTTGAAAATACATAGGCATACCAATTTTCATCTTTCTAGGTAAAAAACTGTGAGCGCTAGGGGGGGGGACATGCCTTTTTTTGCGAAAAACGGCCAAAATTTGATTGATGTTTTCCGCGAAAAACTCTATGAAGATCAACTCCAATCATTTTCGCCATATATTTTGCGTGTAATCTACGCGTGAAAATACATACGTGTACCAATTTTTAGCTCTCTAGATGAAAAATTTTGAGTGCTAGGGGGAGGGGGGTACATTGTAATTTTCCGTAACCGTTTTAATAAGGTTCCTACCGCGGGAATGTGTTACAATTTCTACTAATACATTTAACAGAGTGTCTATCAACCGCGAAGGAAAACTTAGAAATAGCCAGAAATTTAATTCGACCAGGAAGAATCGGAAATTTTCTTATCTAATTAAAAAAAGTTTTATTATATTAATTCGTTTTTAAAACATTGTTTTTTGCTTTAATTTCTATTGATGTAATATTTTTATTTGTCAAAATTTAAGACCTACTTTCAGCCTACAATATAGGTAATATTTTAGATTTTAGCAGTCGTAACGTGGGGTCTACTTGCGATACAATTAGTTCGAATTAGACTCGACATAACTCCAAAAGCTGGTGGAAAATTATGATTGATTATTAATACATTAATTAAAATATTACAAACGCACAAAGTACTACAAATTGACACATACTGCTCTGTAAATCTGAATAAGTTAAAAATAGTATTTGATAGAAAAAGTCATTTACTGTTTACTGATTCAAATAGTAATGTTTTCCTTATTAAATATTTAATGGTAACTAATTATTAGTTTTTCCCAGTCAAATTAAATTCCCGATTGGTAGTCAACTCTTCAAATATATTAGTAGTTAAACTAAAACCCGTCGAAGACGCACGGGTACGACAGCTAGTTGAATTATAAGACACATATTTTAATTACAATTATTAAGAAACACTATTATTTAAAAAATTACTAAAATTCTTTTCCGAAATTTTTTTTCGAAACGGTTTTTTCATCAGGGGAATGTTGACAATACAAAACAATTTTTTATTTTTTTCTAGGAGGCGCTGAACACAAATTGTTATTTATATTTTATAAACAAATTATTGTTATTGAAAGATTGAATGATTGAAAGATTGAATGATTAAAAGATTGAAAGAATGAATGATTGAATGTTTGAATGCTTGAATGATTGTGATTGATAGACTGAAAGAATGAGAGGTTGAATAATTGAATGATTGAAAGACTGAATAAATAGAAGATTGAAAACTTAAATGTTTGAATGATTGAATGATTGAGAATGAAAGGTTAAAAGATTGAATGATTGAATGATTAAATGATTGGAAGATTGAATGATTAAATGATTGAATTTTTGAA